TCTTGGCATGAATTTTGCCTATGGCCCTATGAATACTCTGGGGAATAGATAAACTAGAATGATTTTGCAACTGTTAAAAAATATTTTTAAAAAATATTGGAAAACTGCCCCTGCTGGAAGCTTCCCTGTCCCTTCTTGCTATGCACTATGGCTAATTGCTCTGCTGCCTTACGTATAATGGAGTCTGATATAATCAGCACACTCAGCAGTCACACTGCCCATGACCTGCAGCATAGCTGGATTCAGATTTTGTTGTCCTCATTTGGCTTCTAAATATCTATGAGTGTTCTTTCCTGGTGCCGCCCTGCTAGTAGTCACTTGGAATATTTTGGAAAAGTTGGGTCTAATAATAAATGAAATCAGAGGCAGAGCCAAGGTGGCAGAGTAAAGGCATAGGGACTTGCCTGAGCTCCCCCCCAAACTCCTTCAAATACCTAAACAAATTCTAGAGCAGTAGAACTCACAAAAATATGCAGTGAAACAACTTTCTAGCCCAAAACAACTTAGAAGGTTGGCAGGAAAGGTCTGTTGCATCAGGTTGAGAGAGGAGCATGGTCTAGCACAGTGCAGTCAGCACATACCAGGCCCCAGCAAACCAGGAGCAGGTCTCAGAGCAACTGAATCAGTGGCACCAGTAATGGTTTCTAGACCCTCAGCCCTCAGACAGTAAGGGGATCAGACAACAGGTAAAAAGGAGATTTACAGGGTCCCTTTGCTGACACCAGGGGCAGGACTCTGTTTCGTTGCCTATGCTTGGACCTGGGTTGCAGTCCTGGGTCATAGTCCCAGGGGGATGAGGAGTACTAGCACACTAGTGCTTGTGGCCACAGTGGAGGAGGGACCCTCCTCACAATTCCAGAGTTGAAAAGAGTGCTTGTAGTCACTCACAAACCAATGCACAGTACAGGAGAGTAGTAAACACACCTGTCTGTAGATCATATCACCTTGGAAGAGCTAAAAACTTACAGGTCCCCAGAATTACCTCTGAAAACAACTACACAAAAAACCTGAAGCTTAGGACAGTGGGCCCCCTCCACTTGGGAAGCAGAGCCCCACTTTAGCATAGAGTTAAAAGTCAAGAAATAGGCTGGAAAATGAGCAAACAACAGGAAAAAATTCTGACCATAGAAAGTTACTATGGTGACAAGGAAGATCAAAATACACACTCAGAAGAAGACAACAAAGCCAAAATTCCCACATCCAAAGAAAATATGAATTGTTCTCAGGCCATGGAAGAGCTGAAAAAGGATTTTTAAAAATCAAGTAAGAGAAGTAGAGGAAAAATTGAGAAGAAAAATGAGAGTGATGCAAGAAAATCATGAAAAAAGAGTCAACTGCTTGGGAAAGAAAACACAAAAAAATACTGAAGGAAATATCACCTTAACAAACAGAATAGGCCAAATGGTAAAAAGAGGCAAAAAAAAAAATCCAACAAAATGAAGAATGCTTTGAAAAGCAGAATTGGCCAAATGGAAAAAGATACACAAAAATTCACTGAAGAATAGAACTCCTTAAAAAGTAGAAGTGGCTAAGTGGAAAAGGAGGTACAAAAGCTCACTGAAGAAAATAATTCCTTAAAAGTTATAATTGGGCATGTGGAAGCTAGTCACTGTATGAGACATCAAGAAACAAACAAAGTCAAAAGAATGAAAAAATAGAAGAAAATGTGAAATATCTCATTGGGAAAACAACTGACCTGGAAAAGAGATCTAGGAGAGATAATTTAAGAATTATTGGACTACCTTAAAGCAAAGATCAAAAAAAGGACCTGGACATTATTTTTCAAAAAATTATCAAGGAAAACTGCCCTGATATTCTAGAACCAGAGGGTAAAATAGAAATTGAAAGAATCCACCAATCATCTCATAAAAGAGAGCTCAAAATGAAAACTCCCAGGAATATTATAGCCGAACTCCAAACCTCCCAGATCAAGGAGAAAATACTGCAAGCAGTCAAAAAGAAACAATTCAAATATCATAGAGCCACAGTCAGAATAACATAAGATTTAGCAGCTTCTACATTAAAGGATTAGAGGGCTTAGAATATACTATCCTGAGGGCAAAAGTGCTAGGACTACAATCAAGAATCACCTACTTAGCAAACTGAGAATAATCCTTCAGGAGGAAAAAAAGGAAATTAAATGAAGTGGAAGACTTTCAAGCATTCCTGATGAAAAGATCAGAGCTAAATACAAAATTTAACTATCAAATACAAGATGCAAAAGAAGCATAAAACGGTAAACAGGAAAGAGAAATCATAAGGGATTCAATGAGGTTAAACTGTTTATATTCCTATATGGGAAAATTATATTTATGACTCCTAAAAACTTTCTCATTATTAGGGTAGTTAGAAGGAGTATGCAGAGACAAAAAGCAGAGTTGTGAGTTGAATGTGATGATAAAATTGAGGGATGAGAAAGATGAATACACTGGAAGAAGGGAAAAGAGAGAGGCAGAATGGGATAAATTATCTGACATAAAAGAGGCTTGAAAGAGATTTTACAGTGGAGGGGGAAATGGGAGAAGCAGGAGGGGAACACACGAACCTTACTCTCATCAGAATTTGGAGGGAATAATATACACACTTAGTTGGGTGCAGAAATCTATCTTACCATACAGGAAAGTAAGAAAGGAAGAGCGTAAGATAAGGGGTGAGGGGAGCTGATAGAAAGGAGGGCAGTTTGGGGCAGGTAAAAGTCAGAAGTAAAATGCTTTTGAGACTGGACAAGGTAAAAAGAGAGAGAGTAGGATAAACAGGGGGAAAATAGGATGGAGAGAAATAAATAGTTGGTAATCATTACTGTGAAAAAAAGTTTTACAGTGACTTTCTCTGATAAAGACTTCATTTCTCAAACATGTAGAAACCTGAGTCAAATTTATAGAAATAAGAGCCATTCCTCAATTGATAAATGGTCAAAGAATATGAACAGGCAGTTTTCAGACAAAGTAATCAAAGCTATCTATAGTCATATAAAAAATGCTCTAAATTATGATTAATGAGAGAAATGCACATTAAAACAACTCTGAGCTACTACCTCACACCTGTCAGATTGGTTAATATGACAGGAAAAAGAAAATGGCAAATGTTGGAAGGGGTGTGGGAAAGTTAAAATGTGCTATTGGTGAAGCTGTATACTTATTCAACCATTTTGGAGAGCAGTTTGGAATTATGCCCAAAGGGCTATAAAACCATGCATACCCTTTAACCAAGCAATACCACTACTAGGTCTGTATCCCAAAAAGATAAAAAACAAAAAGGAAAAGGACCTATGTGTACAAAAATATTTATGGCAGTTCTTTTAGTGGTGGCAAAGAATAAGAAATTGAGGGGATGTCCATTAATTGGGGAATGGCTGAACAAGTTTGTTGTATATGATTGTAATGGAATACTATTATGCTTTAAGAAATGATAAGCAGGATGCTCTCAGAAAAACATGGAAAGACTTACATGAACTGATGCAAAGTGAAATGAGCAGAACCAGGAAAACATCATACACAGTAATAACAATATTGTATGATGATATGTTATGAATAACTTAGCTATTCTCAGTAATGTGATGATTTAAGACAGTTCTGTAGGATTTATGATGAAAGGTGCTGTCCATCTCCAGAGAAAGAACTAGTAGACTCTGAATGCAGATCAGAAATACTTTTCCTTACTTTATTTTTCTTGTTGTTGTTTTTTTGTCTGTGTTTTTTTTCATAGAGTGACTTACATGGAAATGTGTTTTGCATGACTACATTTGTATAACCTATGTCAAATTGATTGCCTTCTCAATGGTGGGGGAAGGGGAAGGAGGGAGAGAATTTGGAATTCAAAATTTGAAAAAAAAATGTTAAAATTATTTTTACGTGTAATTGGGAAAATAAAATATTAAATAAGATTAAAAAATAATAAATGAAATCCATTTATATAGAGCTTTGCAGTCACAAAGTGATTTACATGCCTCTAATTTGATCCTTACAACCACCCTGTGAAATAGAGTGTGCTAATGTTTTAGCCCCATTCACAGATGAGGCTACTGAGGCTCAGAGCAATGAGATAACCCAGAACTTGCCCAGGGTTATGCATGGAGCAAGTAGCAGAGCAGAGACTTAAACATAGATCTTCTGACTGTGAGTCCAGGGCTCTCTCTACTACTTCTGCACCCCACGCATAGTTTCAAGAGCTTAGAATCTTTCATACTTAGCACTCCAATTTAATATAAAGTATAGAAACGGTTGTTCCATGGCTAGATTCCACTTTCAAATCATATCATAGTTTGGCAAATCAATCAATCAAGCATTTATTAAGCACCCACTGTGTGCCGGGCAACTGTCCTAGAAGTGGGGCAATTTCAAGTTGTCCTGATCTATATCTTGCCACTGAACCCAGATGGAGGAGAAAGTGAGGCTGGTGACTTTGCACAGTCCTCCCCCATTTAAATCCAATTCACTTGCAAGTCATGACATCACCTTCCCTGATTTCATAGTCCTCCTCAAGAACGAAGGACAAAGAACAACTGCCCTAGGTAGTAGGGATACACATACAAAGAATGAAAGCAATCCCTCTCCTCAATTTGCTGACATCCTAATGCCAAACTCCTAACATCTTGAATATTAAGCTTTCACTGAGGCTGTTCTAAATCATGAGCCCTGTGGACTCTCTTACAAAATAGAAGGCTCCAAACAAACACTGGGCGTTTTTAGAATGGAACAGCACAAGCAATGATGTCCAGAACATAGCCTGTGTTTAGACATAATATTTATCCAATAGAGGGCGCCGTTGTACCAGCTAGTTCACAAAACCCTTATCTGTGAACTCGGCCTTTTAAGATGAAAAAGAAATAAATCAATTTATGCAGTATTTTTATCTACAGTATTCATTTAAAAAAAAACTCGTGATTTTATGTTTTTTTTAAAACTGCTTATTCTGTGCCCTCTTATATTTGAGTATAAAATTCTCTCAGAATATTTGTAAGAGCCACTGCATGGAATTTATTATTAATTGTCTATTTTTAGGCATGAAGCACTGCTGTATTCTGTCTTAGCAGCAGAAACTGGGATTGAAGTGTCACAAACAAATTTAGCCCATATCTGTGAGGAGAGACCAGTAAGTAAATGTTTTCTGCATCTACTCTTAATTTAAAGTGAAAGGGAATAAATTGTCTCACGAAACTTCATTGATTGATGGATTGACTCCTCCCTTCACCCTCTTCCCCACTAGGAACTGGCCAGAAGATACTTGGGCGTTAACTGTGTTTGGAGATATTATAATTTCTCTGTTTTCCAAATCGATGCCCCTGCATTTGGTATGTATAGAAAGACTGCTGCTGAGCTGGGCCATTAACAACCATGAGAACATTGGTAACAAGGAAAAACATAACTGTTTTATGTGAAGTAAGAGCTTTTAAAATAAATGAAGAAAGAGAAAGAACTCTATGATGAAAATCATGGTTAAAAGTCAGATTCCCCAGACTTTCACAGGTCTCTCCTTATCTGCTGCCTTCTCAGACTCACCATTTTGGTGGAAAAAAAAGATAGAATAAAAAATTTTTAAACTTACTTGGGGGCAGCTAGGTGGTAAAGTGGATAGAGCACTGGCCCTGGAATCAGGAGGACCTGAAATCAAATCCAGCCTCAGATGCTTGACACTTACTAGCTGTGTGACCCTGGGCAAGTTACTTAACCCCATTGCCTAGCCAAAAAAAAAAAATTATTTGGAGGATAACTTTTAAACATGGGTTTGCTATAGGAAAGAAAAGCTTATCTGAGCCAGGAAAGAAAAGCTTATCTGAGCCAGTAAAGAAAATTTCTAGTTGAGAAGTCAAACTTAAGCAGCAAGATTTTGGGTATTAAGCAACAAATCGAGTCAATGAGCATTTATTAAATGCCTACTATGTGCTAGGGATATTGCTAAGTTTCGGCACCAAAGAGAAATCTTGCCATGGCAGGGCTTTGAGCCTGAACTCTAAGAAACCCATGGGCCCATTCAGGATAGCTATATTAATTATAAACAGTTTGGGAAATGATTTTGACTCCTTAACTAGGCACAGGAAAGCTTCCCCCCTTCTAATTCAATTCAATTCAACAAATATAACTTCAAGTGCCTCCTGAGGAAGCACAAAGGCCTTGTCCTCAGGAGCCAGAAGGTCAGAGGAAGAGCGAGATGTGAAGGCCTCAGTAGCTACTATTAAAGTGAATCTCTTCTTGTCCCAAAGCTTATTTGAAGATGGGAGACCTCTACTACTATGGCCACCAGAATCAGTCGAAAGATCTTGAGTTGTCTATGCAGATGTATGCCCAGGCTGCTCTGGATGGAGACTCACAGGTAAATAAACACTTGACTGTGTCCCATGCCCTGTTTCTGAAATCATGTTGTAGCTGCTACCTCCAGACAGCAGCACCCTTGCATAAAGGCTCCTCTGGCCATCACCAGTGACAGGGCAGTCCTTGCGGAACCATTTTATAGTTTATTTCAAAGTGCTATCTGGTGTGTGTGTGTGTGTGTGTGTGTGTGTGTGTGTGTGTGTGTGTGCACGTGTGCGCATGTGTGAAATATGCAGAATGACTGGGACCATGGTGCCATTTTGTGGTCAAATGTACAGTATAACCAGCCCATCCTTTCAATCTCATTCATTCATTCATTCTTCATACATTTCCAGTGCCATTTTTGTACAGAACTGTGTGCAATGCCTGGGGGGGAGATTCAAAGCTTAGCTAAAACATGGTCTCTGCCCCTATGGAGCTTACAATATGACACAAAGGGATAATGTGACACAAAGATAACCTTCATACACAATATTCTATGTGTGAGAGGTTAAACACAAGTGCTCTGGGAGGCCTGAGGGTGGAGGAAGGTTCTTTTTGACTAGTTCAGCAGTTACTAAAATGTTTATTTAATTTACTTTCTAATGGAAAACATTTTGACCTTGGTCACTTGTTCTGTGGCATCTCTATATTTAGTGCTGTCCCTAGTGTCAGTTTGTAAGAGTACATTTATATAAACACAAGGCTGGAACTGAACCTGAGATCAAGTGAAGCCTTGCAGACCTACCTAGTTTGAAACTCAAAAATAAGGGGAAAGTGGACCATCGAACCCATCCGCCCTTGTCTCATTGTGCCTTGATTTGGCACTGTTTGCTCATCTCTGCTAGCTCAATCATGCTATAGATAGAGGGCACCTGCTCCCCTCTATGGAGGGGAGTGTCTGTCATTCTCTCTATGCTGGCTTTCTCTCCCTCCAGCTGCCTCTAGCCCTGGCTGGTAAAAGGCAAGAACATAGAATGAGCCTTCATCCTCCATCCCATTTCTATTTATAACCCCAGCTCTCCCTTAGTGACTCAAGCTTCAAATCTTGTTGATGGGTCCCAGGAAAATGAGTAGAACATGAGAATAATTGATAGTGATAGCTAGACCCTTATAATAGCACTTTAAGGTTTGCAAAGCACTTTACACATATGTCATTTGATCCTCAACAACTCTGTGAAGTGTTGCCATTCCCACCTTACAAATGAGGAGACTGAGTCTGAGAGAGGTTGCCCAGGGTCAGAATGCCAGTCAGTTTCTGAGGCAGGATTCAAACTCAGAACTTTCTGATTCTAAGTATAGCACTGTGTCTGTGGTGCCTCCTGAGTGTATATCAATCTGTTTTTCCTAGGGGGTAGCAATAGACTGAACTGTATATAACCTTTTGTATTAATGACCATTTTTGATGAAGATGGGATCTAGACCCCAAAAAGGAAAAAACCTGGACTTTCCCACAAGGCCAAATCTCTGGCCTAATCCCATCAACTGGCCTTTCATTGTGATTACACCCAATCTCCCAATTCTATTATCCTTAACCTAGCCTAGCCCTGCGTTGTCTTACCTCCCTAAGGCCCCTGGCCACTTCCCACCCTTAATCCTATCTAGGCTCCATTCTCTCTTGGCCACAAGGTCCAGGTCCCTGGAGTTCTATTACCTCATAGACAGTATTTGGCCACTCCTAGATCCCTCCCGTAGTCTTTCTGTACATAAGGTCCATCTGGTCTCCATTAAGATGCTTAGATTCTTACAATCTAGCCAATAGCTCATTGACATTCAGACTCCTTAAGAGTCTGCCCAGTATGACTGATATTCTAATAAACCTTGTCTTTGGCTGAAAGTCTCTCTCCGGAGTTCTAGCCTCACGTCACTACTTGCTTGTAATATGACTTTTCTATAGACATACAGACATAGACATCAAAAATTCTATATATCCAAGACAGAACTCATTCTTTCCCCCAAACCCATAATCTAATTAAAACAGAGAGACATTCCTTAGTGTTTATTGAACTGAATTGAAATCTACACAAAGAAAACTAACAATCTAAGGTGGCATATACTTATATAGTGGGATGGACTTGTGATCTATCACATCAGTATGGGGATGCCATCCATTAGTGCAGCTCCCAGCTCATACTGTGCAACTCTTGTCCTTGAGCAGATCTTCAAGGATGAATTAGAAATACTGTAGGAGCTCTGAGGAGCTACTCATTGTTGGGGGTTAGGCTGGTTGGGAAAAGCCTCAGGGAGGAATTAGGATTTGAGTTGGAGTTTGAAGGAAGAGTAAAATTTATATTAGCAAATAGGGGAGTAGAGAGAAGGAATCCCACCCAGGCTGGGAGGATGGATAAGGTTCTAGGACAGGATTTGGCCTGAAGGAAGGATTTGTGTAGGTGAGCCATGGAAGATAAAGTTGTAGATGTGGGAAGGTTGTAGAGGGCCTTGAATATTGGGCAGAAGGATTTTAATTCATTCCTATCTGCAGATAGGAGGCAAGGCTGTTTTTGTATTTTGTTCAAAGGAGTTTTTAAAGAAGATTGTGACAGGATGAGAGAATATGAAGACTGGAAGACCATTGTCATTCATGCAATCAACATTAAGTGCCTACAATGCTCCAAGCCCAGTGCTAATTGTTGAGACTACAAAGAAGGGCAAAAGACTGTCCCAGCTTTCTAGAAACTCACTGTGTAGTGGAGAAGACAATTTCCAAACTTCTATGAACAAATAAGCTATATACAGGATAAATTAGAAATAATCAACTGAGGGAAGGCACTAGAATTAAGAGGAATAACTTACTTTGCCCTGAACAGCTACATGATAGCAGTGAATACCTTTGGTGAACGTAGTCTTATTTTGTGAATTGTTGGAAATTAATAATAAAACTTACCAAATTAAGAGGAATAACTTAATAAAAGGAAAATTTCCAGTGCTGTAGAGATTGAGCTTTCTCTAGGGAAGATTTGTGGAAGGATGTGGAGCATAATTGTCCACAATGAGGTTTGGATTGCTTGCGATGCAAAGAGTTGGAGAACATACACATACTGATGAGGTCTTACTCCACTGAAATATTGAAAAAATGAGCACTTGGACCTAAGGAATAGGCTGTGTGGCAGTGGGATGAGCTCTGGATTTGGAGTCAGTGGCCTTGGCTTTAGATCCTGCCTCTATCAGTTACCACCAATGTGACCCTGGGCAAGTTGTTTAACCTCTCTGGGCCCCAGTTCCCCCCCTGTAAAATGAAGAAGTGGGATAGGTTGGCCTCTAAAAACCTTCCAGGACTGAGTCTATGATCCTATGAGAGAAGAGAGAGCAGTGGTGAAGAGCCCTCTAATTAGCAACAATTTTATTTAACTTAGTCTAACTTTTACTTTAAAATGAGTTCATTAGCAGCTTATCACCAAGGTTTTCCTTCTCACCCATATACAGGGATCAGCACAGAAAGCTGGGTTCTTTCCTTCACTCTTTGTACAAACATTGTGCCCTCCTAGATGTGAACAACAAATAAATAAATTCTCCCAGCCCCTTTCCCAGGTCTAGTGAAAAATCACTTACCTGGAGCTGGTAGCCTTGGTCGGGGGCCTCTGGAAAAGCACATGTCCTTCCACTGCCATAAAAATAATTTAGGCAAATGTTTAAGTGGGAGCGGCAGCTATACAGCTGGAAGAAAATGTGGTAAGGCATTCTACTGCCCCGTGCTTAGGTGCCTTCCCTTTCAGGGCTATGTGACCAAGTTTGCAAGTGGCGTTAGCCTTGGTCTGCTCAAACCCCTGAAGGGAATCTATCTAAAGATTTATAATTGGGGAAGGACAGTGTTTGCCAGTAAGTGTTTAACCACAGGCTTTCTGTAAATATGTATGCACAACACACCTTTAAGTTTAATCTGCATTAATTTACATTATTAACTTTTCCCAACATTTTCTTAAGCCTAGACAATCAACAAAATGATAAATAATCACTGACTTGAGGCATTTACCTATTTCTGAAGTGTGAATGCTCACACTGAAGATTTAACAATCAGTTTACCAGCCCATACAAGCTGGCTCCAGAATATAGCTGGTTAGAACCATTCCCAGACTTCCTGAAAACAGGTAGCAGAGCAGAGACTTTTCTAGAGAAAGGCCCTAAAGGAGTAATTTTCCCATGGTGATTAGTGAAAAGCTAAGCACAGCTATCCTATGCCTTAAAACTATGCCCAGTATTAGAATATGACTCCACCAAAATGTGAAAATACAGAGTTTTATTTCCAACCTGCTGATGGGGCCTTCAAGAATAAGCAGTAAATAATGAGCACAAGCCTTTACTCTGGTCCTTTACCTCTTTTTCTGCTATGAAGGCAAAATTTCCAGCTAGTTCTGTTTTCAGAAAGTGAAGGAAAAGGACAAATCCTCCGCTTGACTAGTTTCTGAGCAGATGGAGCTCAGCATCCCTATGAAAGCCTACTGGTTCTTTTGCAAATAAATTTCTCAGATGCATATATTTAGGGAAACAACTCATCAATGAAGATGACAAAACCATCTGGCACTAGGACTGAAAAAAATATGGAGGTTGTAAAAGTTTACATTCTGATGAGGGGTGTGGGTATGTGATTTGTCTGTTTGGAATGGATGAATTTTGTTTGTGGTTTGTTTATTTTTTTTTTGCTTGTTTTGATTTTTTAGGGATTTTTTAACCTGGCCCTTCTAATTGAAGAGGGAGCTACTATCCCATACCACATTTTGGAATACCTGGAGATTGATCAAACACTCCATTCTAATAACATCTCAATCCTTCAGGAACTCTATGAAAGGTGAGCTCATAACTTCACTTGATGACAATCTGGCATTTTTTTTTGTATTCGAGCTAAAGGGGAAGTATTTGCTTCTGGGTAAAAGTCCACTTTCCATCTCACTCTAGCCAGGCACCCTGACTCCCTATTAGCACATCTAACAAGGAAGAATGAAAAGGGCTCAAGATCCATTGCTTACTAGTGAATTTACAAATTTCCCTGCCCAGCCAACATCAGCTGATTGATTACTATTTGCCTTAGGCCCAAGGTTTAAGGTTCTGGGTTGCTGATATAAAGTGGAACTGCTAGATAAATCTTTCTTTTGAGAATGCCTATGGGAAGCTGTAAAAAGAACAATCATCAGATAAGTTTTCTTGGAGTGAAGGTTTTATGTAGCTAGGCATGTAAATAAACAGTAATAATAATGGTGATGGTGATTCCAGCAGCTAGTATTTATATAGGACTTTAAGGTTTACATGTGGTTCATACGTATTATCTCCTTTGATCCTCACAACAGCTCTGTGAAGTAGGTGTTGTTGTTGAGGTTTACCCTTTGAAAGCAAGGGTTGTCTTCACTTTTCCTAGTCAAGTCTAAGCACTGTCCCTGGTGCTTAGCATACAGCAAATGATTCAAAAGCATTTTATTCATCCCTTGATCCATTCTTCCCTATTCCCAGGCAGATGCTCTGTCCATTAAGTTCCCCAGCTAACTTTCTAGGGAAGATAAGGTTGAGGCAGTAGATAGGGAAGAAATGAAATTATATGGTGACCTTCAGCAAGTCTCTGAACATTAGCAGATTCATTTGTGAAATGATGTTGTTTTGTGAAATCCAGGCTTCTCCTAGCCCCAACACTCTGTGATGTTAGGCCATGTTTTCTGAAAGGTGCCAAAGCTCTTTCAGGTGGCAGCTTTGGGAAGGGGCATAACAAATGGTAGCAAAGTAATCATTTAGATGATGTTTTTCAGTTTATGGTCCTTTGGAGAAAGTGGGGTGGGTGGACCTGGAGAGGTGGACCTGGAGTTAGCAATCCCTGACTTGAAATCCTGCCACAGATCCTTATTTGCTACAAAATGGGGCTAATAAAACCTTGCTTTATGGAGCTGTGGTGAACATCAATAATGAGCTCATCATGGCAGCTAGGTGGTGAGGTGATTAGAGCTCCGGCAAAGTGTTTTGCCCTGGAGGTGTGATCTGGGCCTCTAGCTTTCCTCCCAAATGCTTTAAGAGGTAGAGACTGGCCAGCCTTATCAGAATTCTGCCCAAGCAGCCTCTACATTGCAGCAAGACTCATAATGATTTATCTTATAGTTACCCAAAAGGATCCTTGAGTCCTTGAGAGTTCACCTTGAGTGCCTAAAACAAAACAAAACTGAAGAGAAAGCCAGGGTGCCGTTCTACTCTGCTTTGAAACCTGTCTTTCCATCCTTCAATTGTTCTTGCTCTCAAGAACTATGCAGCTTTGTAGACTATTTTGAAAATGTCAGTAATCAGTATTACTACCAAATTAAGTCAAATAATCAGGGTGATTTGTGGTTTTTATTGTAGGTGCTGGAGCCATAGTAATGAAGATTCGCTCAGTCCTTGTTCATTAGCTTTGTTTTATTTTTATTTTCGGATTGTCTGTAATGGAATTTTTCATTCCACCCCGGTAGGTATTATGTCCCTGGGCCTCCCCCCACCCACACCTCTCTTTACAGTCTTACCCTTTCTGGCTGTCATTCATCTAATACCCACTTCTGAATATTTGGCAGATCTACTTTCTGGGAACCTTTCTGGTATCCATATTGATCGCATTGGCAGTCCAGTATTTTCAATCAGTCTCAGGTAATGATTTATGTAAATCAAACCCATTACAGAAAAAGAAAAAAAAGGGGAGTGTGTATGTGGGGGGGGTGTGGGTGTGGGTATGGTTGTATGTGTGTTTCCTTCCTCTGTTAGGTCTTACTTTCCTGCCTCCATTTTCCTTTTTATTTAGTTTATTTCATCTACCTAGAATACCCCCTGATTCTCACTCACTACAACACTTCTCGTCTTTCCCTTCAAGGCTCACCTCACATACAACCTCTTCTTCATTACCACAGTAAATATTTGTTTCATTGCAGTGAATTGAGTACCTTTCCTAATCACCCCCAGCTTGTCATGATGCCCCTTTCTTGGCATTTCTCTAGGATTTAGTTTGTGTTTCTCATATGACATTTACCAGATACCATATTGTATTGTGGATAATTCATACATACATCTTAACTTGTCTTCTAGATCTGGGGTTCATGAACTTTTAAAAAATATATTTTGATGATAATATTTCTATATAATTTGGGGTTTTTTTTATAATTCTATGTATCTTATGCATTTAAGAACATTATTCTGAGAAAGGGTCCATAGGCTTCACTAGACTGTCAAAGGGGCTGATGACTCACACAAAAAGTTTAAGAACCGTCATTCTAGATTATAAATTTCTTGAGAGCAGGAATAGAGACTTAAACAACTTTGTATCCCTCATTATACCCAGGACAGTATCTTGCATATGGCAAGTGTTCAATAAATATTTGTTGAAAAGATGGATGGATAGGGGCAGCTAGGTGGCGCAGTGAGTAGAGCACTGGCCCTGAAGTCAGGAGGACCTGAGTTCAAATCCGGCCTCACACCAAACACTTCACACTCACTAGCTGTGTGACCCTGGGCAAGTCACTTAACCCCAATTGCCTAAAAACAAACAAACGAAAAAAAAGAAAGAAAGAAAAGATGGATGGATGGATACAAGTTGATACGTGCTATACATGGATGTATGAATTTGAAATCATCCTCAGAAGGCATTTATTCAGCATGTATCTGAGCCAGGGGAAAATGCTTTGTACTCTAAAGACCAAAATAAACAGACATATAGGCCCTCTTTTTAGATTGTAGTCTAAAACAGATTCCATCAACCTGACCAGACATAAAAAGACGTAAAGACTCACAAACATCCATGCAGACATTAGCAAACAACAAGACGAAGAAGGGATGTGCTCTATAAACATTAGTGTGGGGATTATTTGTGTAGCAGAAAATGAAAAGTGAACAGAATAAACCTGATGTCACGAGGTGGTGAGAAAGGAGTCAGTGGTGAGGAGGGCAGATGGAATCATCATTTTGCTTCCAGTCCCTTAAGGAAGTTAATGAGGGATCATCCAAACCCTCTCCCAGGTCTGATGCCTTTTCGTCAGTTGGCTTATAAATCTAGCTCATGCAAATTCAGTTCCATCACTAAATTTGTTACCAGGTATAGCACATTCATTTTGCATCTTGTCAGTATTTTCCATTTCAAATTATCGTTGTCATTTTTACTCTGTAGAAATATTGTTATGATTATTATAAATGCAATTCAGTTAGAGGAGCTGAAAATTGTCTTTATGATTTTATACCAGCTGGTACCCATGAAAATTCATGGGCTAGTAGAATTGTTTTTTATGAAAAGTTGTTTCTGCTACTTTTCTTCATATCTTCATCCATACTCCCAATAAATCCTCATCTCACTCTTTCCTCCTTCACTTTATCATTTCTTTTCCTTTTTCTTCCTTTTCCTCAGCTTTCCACATTGCAGGGAATATTCTGTACCACCCACATATTTACACATTTCCCCCTCTAACTTTTTGCTCTCTCCCAACTCTGTCTCTTTCTCTTCCTCTTCAATGGCATCTACAATCTCTTCTCAACCATGAACACTTTAAAGAGTTAAAATACATAAAAATGTCTTTAGTGTTTGGCAAGATTTCAGCTTAGGCTCAAACTTAGAAAGAATCCTGGATTTGGAATCCAGATACCTATGTCCAGATACCAGAGTCCCAGCTCTGCTCCTTTATTTCCTCTGTGACCCTGGGTAATTAACTTCTCTCAGGGCCCCAATTTCCTCATCTGTAAAATAAGAAGTTGGACTAGATGATCCCTTGAGGTCCTCTTCTGCCTTATATCTATTATCTTAATAATTAGCCACAATTATGGGATTGGCAACTGAATTGGGGACCACTTTATATATTAAGGCATGAGAGGAGGAAGGAAGAAACTGAGCTTTGGGTGAATCCATATCAAAGGCAAAAGGACTTAACAAAGGTACTATGCTGACTCATGGTGTCCCTCTCTGATAGGGGTCAAGCAGTGTAAGGTAATAAGGAAAGAAGTATGAAAGATGATTAAGAGGCTGAGCATTCTTCAGTACCAGAATAGTAGCAGAAGATGTGATGATGAGTTTTTGACACTTAGCAAGGTATTACCAAAAACAAACAAATGAACAAAACCCTCAAAACACAGCTATTTGGAAATCCAGGAACCATATGGAAGAAATAGCCCTGTGAATGGCACATTGTTCTAAGTTAAGGGACTTTGTTATTTGAGGACTTGCATTTCAGTCTGTGTAGTCATCTTTTTTAAAAAATATAATAATTCATTTTTGTACTTTTACACTGAGGTGTCCATCCATTTTGCGTTAGGCTCCAATCACCCATAGAGAATTATGTTCTATTTAGTATCGGTTGAAACCTTGTATAAAATTGGCCATCACTTTATTGGTTGGTGTTTGCAAGGCTAACTCTGAAGAGGTTATTTATTTCTTCCAAGGGTACTTTGCTTGCAATTTGGCATAGGCTGCCACCAAGTGAACAGTAAACCTGGATTCTAACTTTCGAGTCCCAATGCCCAAGCTTCTCATGGAACTAATTCACTGAGGAGGAGAGTATCATTCTTTCCCACTGAAGGCAGTTTTTCTATGATAATAGACATCTTCATTAAAATAGCTAAACCCAAAGATTAACTCATATTAGCATAAACTATTTAAATAATATTAGTAATAATCTATATGCAAGATTTTCAGAAATATAACTAGGAACAATTAGGTACCTTACTCACTAATGTTTTAAACTCACTGATCCATCTTGAAAGGCACATAAAATTAAGCCACCTGATCCTCTACAACTAACTAGATGAAAAAAACTGGATTAGCTAAACATTTTTCTATTTTTTTTTTTCAAGCTGTTGCACTTCTGATGGGAGGGAGCTGGCCTTTCATAGACCTAATCTTAGAAAGGGGACCAGATGAGAAGGTGTTAAACTGAGTGATACCAGGGTATGAATTAGTCTCATGAGTGTGGCAGAATGGAGGCCACAGCTAGGCTTACTTCCAGCTAACCTTTTAAAATCAGTTCACTGGGACCAAAAGGCAGACCCAAAGAAGAGCCCAGCTCCTAATCACATGAGGAGAATGTTGAGATACAGGGGCACCCCAAAATGCTGAGATGCAAGGTGTTCATGTGGCGGGTTCATCTTGAAAGAATCCATTTAGGCTGTCTCCAAATCAAGTAAAGGCATTTATTCCAGTTAACACACCAAGCAGACTCTTCCTTAAGGGAGGTTGCTGCCCCTTAAGGGAGACTGCAGCTTAAGGGAGACCCCAGACCTCCTTAATGGAGACAGCAGCTCCTTAAGACAGACAGTTCCCTCCAAAGGAGGCAACCCCCCCAGGGAAGCAGCCCCCCAAGGGAGGCAGCCTCCTAAGGGAGATGCCCACTAGCCAGGAGAAGTTAGGGGCCCCTGTTAGTTTCGATATTTCATTTACCAGCCTACTTGAATCTCATTATCTCCTAAAGTGACTTTAAGTGGTACTGAAAATAATGGGCTTCTCTCATGGACCAGTCTATTTGAATCTCATCATCTTCCTCACTCAAGAAGTGGGCACCCAAATTCATCTGGGAAAAAGGGCAAGGGTCATGCATTCCTCATCAGAGAAGCCTCAGGAATGGAAGAATGGGAAGCTATAATGGAATGGAAATAGGAAGCCACATGGAGCTACAGACACAGGCAGCCCCCAAAAGGAAAGGAGCCAAGATCCTAGGAATGAGGCTGCTTGGACTGATTGGTCAAGACGTGTTGAGAAAGAAACTTGTGTTGCCGAAACTGCTCTGGACTCTAGACCCCAGGGCAAGTCGTCTTGCTTCTTTCTCCCCTTGAACTTCTTTGTTAGGGATTGAAACCTTTTCCTCTGGGCAGGAGGAAAATCTGTTTATCTTTTTTTCTTTGTTTTAAATGTTTATTTTGCTTCTATATATTGTGTTGATCACCAACATTTTTCAAGTGGGAAATACAGTTGTAAGGTGGCAGCTGAGGTGTAATCATCTCCAGATATAGTTCTAACTAGCTGTTTTTTCAAGGACAGTCTCTGGCTGGGATCTCAGAATGAACAAGAAGATACAGAGAATTAAAACAACTTATTGATTCACTGTGTTTTAGTACATTTGTCACTTTTCCAGTGAGATTTCCATTATGTATTCAAAGTAGGCTCTTAGGAGGCCTCTCTTCAGGAACTAAGAGAAGCCTAGAGGGTGAATCCATTTTTAAAAGAGGGTTAAGAGAGAGTTATTTGATCAACTTCTGGCCAGGTGTCACTATCAGCTGGCATCCCAATGAGGTGACTTCCAGAGACTGTTCCTAAGTATTGATCAATTGGCTTTCCATTCACAAAGGCTTCTCTCTAGTCCTAAATTGTGTTTACCTCAGAATCATATGGCATCCCTGAGAAGAGCTCTCAAAACCCAATGTAAGTCCTATGAAAATGAAGTCTTATTGGGCATACCAGGCAAAGTAATTTCTACCACTCACAGTAACAGTAATAACAGAAAGTTACATACAAGTTATAAAATTTTATATAACTTTCAAGTCTTTTTTTTATCTGAGCCTTAGTGCAATCCCATAGGGTAGCTATTGTTACAGTTATTATTATTCCCATTTTACAGATAGAGAAATTAAAGTATCAGAAATGAGTTATGAATCCATTTCATCCTGTCTCCAACTCTGAAACTGTATTCACTGTACTATTCTGCCTTATGCTCAGTAGAGCGCTGAACCATCTCAGGGGTTCTTAGCCTGGCATCCACATCTGTGGATAGATTTTATGGGGTCCCCACACTTGGATAGCGAAGGTGGGAGGGGGTGGAATACATCTATAATATAATTAGTTGTCTTTTTAATCCTATATGTTTTGTTTTATGCATTTAAAATAACCTGAGGAGTTAATATACTTCATCAGATTGCCTGAGGGGTCTATGGTACAAAAACCACTGCTCCAGAACCTAAACAGATGACTTTGTTTTCCCAACCCTCCTCCCCCCAGCTCTCCTCAAGTACACTGCAGCTACTTTGAGGTACACATTAGACTCTGAGCTCCATAAGAGCAGAGACTGTCTTTTACCAGAGGTAGCACAATTCCTGACCCATAAGGGGTGCTTAATAAATATTTATTGGATTCAATTAATTGGATTATTCAGTTGAATTAAAGCACTTGGTATCTCATTTGATCCTCACACAGTCCTGGGAGGTAAGTGCTATTATTATCCCCATTTTACAGTTAAGAAAACTGAGGCAAACAGATGTTAAATGACTTGCCCAGGGCCACACAGCTGATAGGTGTGTCTGGTCCAGTCAAGCTGACCTGTTAATTATTGCCCATACATGACATTCAATAATCCTCTGCCTTGGCATCAATGACCTTCTAGGTCTGTGATACAGTCTCTCACCAATTCCCTCTTGCAGAATCTCTGACTTCTTTCAAAGCAAAGTTCAGGTGCCAACTCCTACATAAATACTTTCCCAACTGGGTCCCACTTCTTCCCTCCCACCTCACTTATTAAAAAGCAGTCCCCGAATCAGATGTCTGATAAAGTTACATGTATTCATTCATTCACTGAACAAAAAATACAGTAAGCACCTACTCTGTGAACATAATATTCTAAGCAATTGAGTAATAAGGGAGATAAATAACACAGGGTTCTAACAAGACTACGAGGTCCTTGAGAATAGATCCCATGCCTCTTATCTCTCTTTAATGCCCTAGATTGCCTGGTGCTATGTTTTAAACCAGGCTTTCAAAACCTTTGGCCCTCAGGCCGCTTACAGCCAGTGGGCTGCTTGTGGCCCACCAAAGGATTTCAGGCAGCCCGCAAAAAATGTAGAGGAGGGGGCAGCTAGGTAGCACAGTGGATAGAGCACCGGCTCTGGATTCAGGAGGACCTAAGTTCAAATCCAGCCTTCATCACATAATTACTTACTAGCTGTGTGACTCTAGGCAAGTCACTTAACCCCATTGCCTAGCCAAAAAAAATTAAAAAATAAAAAATTTTAAAAAACGTAGAGGAAAACATCTTCTACAATTTTCGCCAGCCACCCAAAATCTTTTGGGAGGCCCACAGTTTGTAAATTGTGCAGGCCTGTTTTAAACATAGCATTAACTCAATAAGTACTTCTTGAATTTAAATAAATAATATACAAATAAATAAACAAATAAGACTGGTTTCCTGACCTTAGAAAGCAGGGGTATAGGAACTAGATTCATGATTTCATTGGTAAAGGAAACCCCTAGTATGGAAATTCCCTCTACCAATGCATGGTCTCAGCAACTGATAAGCTTGGAGGATTACCTAAAACAAGGAAAGGTTGAGTTGAGCCAGGGTCACACAACCGTTATGGGTCAGAAGTAGGACTTGACCTCTTGCTGTCCTGACTCCAAGGCCAGTTTTCCTTCCACTATGCCACAATACTTCTCACTACCCACATTGAGCTATAATCAAATAGTGAAGATAAGATGGACAGAGCTAAATATAATGCAAGTAATATGTGACTGAGAAGAATAAAATGCCATGAAATCAGATGTGGGAAAAAATCATTTCTAGCTCTGGAATTCTGAACATCTGCATGGGAACTCAGAACATCATCCTTTGAAGTAATTCATCAGGACTAATGATGATGATCCAGAACATTGATGATACATACTCTTTCCCCCCCCCCCCAAGCCTGCTTCTTTTCATCCCCTACCAGATGCTTGGGGAAAGTGGGCTCCTTTTACTATTACAACAAACATTTATTAAGCACCGACTGTGTGCAGAACGTGCTGTGAAGTGCTGTGGATTCAAAGACAAAAAAAGGACAGTCCCTCCCCTCCAGGAGCTCAGGTTATGTGTGGGAGTGAGGGTGAGGGTGGGTGGTGCATAACTTGGAGGAAGGGAAGGCATAGTTAGAGACCACAGCAATTGATACCGTAACTGGGGAGGCAGCTATACTGAAGAACCTGAGAGAAATGATGCTGGTTTCTGTATACCAAAGCTCTTCTCCATCACAGCAAATAATCGAAAGGTGAAGCTGTAATTCCTAAAGCACAGTGGTGTTTTTAAAAGCAGACACATATTAGAAATGAAAGCTGGCCTAACTTATAAAAATGATATGGGACTAAAATCTCTTTGAGAAGAATTATAATCAGCCCCAGAAGGCAGAAGGATCTTGGTAATCACAGCATGAAGTGTGGCAGATTCTCTCATCAGCCCTGCCAGGCAGCATTAGAGACCCAGCATGGTGTCCTAGAAAGAAGACTGGACTCAAGCCAAGAAGAAGTGTGATTGGAGTTCCCAACTTGACGTTTATTAGCTGTGTGACCTTAAGCAAGTTGTCTAGACTCCTCATTGAGCCTCAGTTTCTTTGTCTATAAAATGGGGCTGATACAAAGGTTCATATTGCCTACTTCACAAAGATCTTGTGAGGATTCAATCAAATCACGTGCATAAAGAGCCTTGCCATAAAAGACTATATAAAAGTGAGTCCCAGGTCTGCAAATCATACTCTTGAGCAGGCTTTCTTTCACCATAGAGCATCTTTATAGATTAGGAACTCCTAGGCCAATGTTTCTGTGGTTTCGTGGGAAAGCCCTGCCCTATGCAGTTCCATGAGGAAGAAAGTTCTTTCCTAGTTTTGTGCTCTGAACAGACGAGATGAGATTTCCTTACCAGACACCGTTAGCTCTAAGCAAAAGTGTTCAGTAGGCAAGTTTGTATTGTAAGTATTTCTGCCTCTATTCCCTCACCTGGTTCTTGGGGCCCCTTGCCTCATACCATGTGCCCACACCATCCCCACAGGGCCTGCTTCTTACCTTATGATGTAATACCCTACTAAAGCGTTAACTCTATTATCCCTTCCAAGGGTTTTTGAACTTGAAGAAGGCTTTTGAAGACCCCAAGGGAATTTACCCACATGCTTCTGGCTAAAGAATAGCATTCCATAGGATCATTTTTTTTTTCATCTAGTGCTGAAAGGGATTCCAGCCTTTTTTTTAATTATAGCTAAATAACCTTCCAGAGAAGTGAGGTAACTCACCCTAGGAATTCAAATCTAGGTCTTCAGACTCCAAATCCAGCCCTGTCCCTTTTGTACATGTCATCCTCTTTCCAGTCAAGAGGACAGCTTCAGGAGGAACAAACACGGCATATGAGGGAGGAGAAAGGCACCTCCCAGCTCAGCCAGCAGAGCTCTGGTGATCAATAAGGCGACTGGCCTCACAGCCAGAGGATTCTGCGCCATCTCGGAGATGAAGGGTCAAAGGTGTTGTGTGGTTTGTCCAAAGCTCCACAGAAAGAGATTAGAACTGGGACCCATCACCTAGCCTAGTGTCCTTTTGCTTCTACTAAACCTGTGTATTTTTTTCTATTTGTTGTTTCAGATACTCAGCATTTTTTTTTCCATGTATGTGTATTTGTGTTTGTCTGTGTGTATCTTTACAGCCAATGGTCCTCCCGCATCTGTTTCACAGCTCTCTTCAGAAATTGCCCCTTCCATTGCAAATCCAGCTGTTGGCTCCTTGGAACAAGAAGAGGCCATTCCTGCAAATAATTTAGAGCAGCGAGGGTGAATTGCTGACTCTCCATATTTCCCCAGATGAGAGATGGAGCCTTTGGACCATGGGTATTTGACAGAAGACATTAGGAATGCTGCAGCCAGGGAATTATAATGCTAAAACCTTCAACATGTTTTGACTACTAGAAGTTAATAGTGCACTTGAGTAAATATCTATATCTATATGATACTTATATTTATGCAAATAAATATAAACATATATTAAATATAGACATGTGGATATGGATATTTAAGTTATAAGGAAGTGTCCAGAGTAGATACTGCTTTTTCCAGGGTATCAAGCAAATACAGTGGAACCCTCTTCCTATACTAATGTTAGGGACAGGGTTGATGCCCTGTAATGGTCTACAGGATTACGGCCCATTGGACTCCCACGATGGTGTTGCTATATTTCAGGGGACATCATTTACCTGTGCTATATCTAAATCCACTTAAAGCAAGCTACGTTCTAATGGGACTTCCATCAATGTTGTTCAGTCCTTCTGAAATTTTCCTTTATTGAAAAAATAGGCAAATGTGAACATTAAACAGGGTTTGTAATGTTTTGGTTCATAGCACTCGTGACAAGAAGAGTCCTTTTCACAGCCAGGCTGCTTCTGGAAGCACAAACCAAATTCCTCTTTGTCCTGCCATGCCTACAGGAAACAAAAGGCGCTTAATTAGAGTTAAGTCAGAGTCAGTGTGAAATACGGTAAAGGAAATGTCATTGTAAATTGGTTTACATTTTTCTCCTTAAATTTTTCTAGGATCATAGTGCTTAAAATGCTTTAATGATATTGCCAGATATGGTTTCTTCACAATTGTAAACCTTCAGATGCCATTTAGAAAATGATTAGTATTTAAAAGTAGTCTTTGCCACGAATTACCCATTAGAATAGAAGTAGGCCAATGGAATATGCAGAAAACAATCCTTTAGCTCCTAGTCCCCCTGTGCCTGGTTCTTGGGGTTTTGAGAGAAGTATGCCATGGGGTGTGTGTGTGTGTGTGTGTGTGTGTGTGCTAGAATAATTAAATCAGTAATGCAATATTGTGGGTCCATCTACTCTTCTTTGCACTACTTTATTTACAGTAGTAAATAAAATTATTTTTATATTGTTTACCACCTGTGAAGTGACTGGGTTTTTTTTTTCCTTTTTCACATGTATACTTTTTTTTAATCACTCAAAGTTCTAAAGTCCATGAATTTTTGTAAAAGCAGAGGCAAGGAGAAGATTTATCAGACAGATTTTTTTTCTGGTGACATATTAACTTTTGAGATTAAAAAGTGGACAGGTGGTTCCCCTATTTAAATGACCAGTCACCTCTGGTTCCAGTCCTGGGGTCTTTGTCTCTCTCCTCAAAGTTTCTTGAAGCTAGGGCCAGATGTCCCCTATTACAGTTAGCTTCTCCTGACCGGTCCCTTTTAAACTCCTTTCTGCACTGCCCCTGACTATAGCTAGGCCGCTTCTCAGTTACTACTGTTGTCCCTTTACCTGAACACCTGTGAATGTCCAGGTAGCTAGTGTTGGGTCTCCAGAAGTTGGTTCAGTACCAGGCTGGATTCTGGTCCAAGAGGAGGGACTGACTCATCTCTTCCTCAGATAGTTTTTGAGGAAGGGCAGAGTGGTTTCTAGAGCCAAGCCAAGGGTTTTAATTCATTCCAGGATAGGCCCTGATAAGGCCTGATAAAAAAAAAAAAATAAGGCCCTGATCCCTGGGCTCAAAGCTGAGTACAACAGGTAAGAGGGCCAGGCAGCCCAGTCTTTTCCAACATACTCTACTCTAGGGATTCAGTGAATCTGTGAACACGGAGAGGGAAAAAAGTGTATCTTTGTTTTTGTTATTTGGCTTCCTTTTTTTAACCCTATGTATTTTATTTTATGCATTTGAAAACTTTGTTCTGAGAAGGGATATACAGGCTTTGTCAGAGTGACAAAGAGGTCTGAGGTTAAGAATTCCTGCTCTGTTCAGGTACTAGACTTAGAGACAGAAATTCCTGAGTTTGAATCCTTCTTCAGACTTATTAGCTGCAAGACCCTAGGCAAGTCATTTACCCTCTCTTAGGCTTAGTTTCCGTATTTGTAAAATGGGAATAATAGTAGCATCTACTTCACAAGGTTGTTCTGGGATAACATGTAAAGTACTTAGCAAACCATAAAGTGCTATATCAATTCCAGCTACTATGATTGTTGCCTTCTCCCTCTTCCCTCATAAGATCATGGTTTTAGAGACCACTTAGTCCAGGGGTATGGAAGCTTTGGCCTTGAGGCCACATGTGACCTTTTGGGTCCTCAAGTGTGGCCCTTTGACTGAATCCAAGCTTCATGGGACAAATCCCCTGGATAAAAGGATTTGTTTTGTAAAACTTGGACTCAGTCAAAAGGCCACACCCAAGGACCCAAAAGGTCACGTGTGGCCAGGTTCTCCACCCTTGATTAGTTCAACTACCTCACTTAACAGATATAGAAACTACAGCAGTCAAGGTGAAGAGACTTTTCCAAGGTCCAGATGAAGAGATTTGCCCAAGGACATATAGAGAGTGGCTAAGTAAGACAGGATTTACCCTCAGGTTCTCAGACTCCAAATGCAGCATACTCCATTCTCTGTTTAGAACGAAATTCATGAGAGGTCAAGCTGGTGCTATGTGAGGGCCAGGACTGGAGTGAAGAAGGAGCATGCAGGGTTTTCTAGAGGTCCCCTGTACCATGTATCCAGAAGAGTGGGTGTCACCTACCTGACTTCTGCTCCTCTTCAGACTTTCTTCAGACCTACCTTCCATCTGAAGGTCTCTACAGAACAATTTACCGCCACTGATGCTTTGTCAAACTCAGTGTATAAATATTCATATTGTTGTATGGATTTAAAAGCCTAGATTACTTACCATATAATTACCACCAAGCCCTCCTGGACTGAGGAAAGTGAGGCCCAGAAGGAGAAGTTGGCAGTGGTGCCTCTCCTCACTTTACAGAGGATGTGGAGCTAGACCCCAAAAAAGGAAAAACCCTGGACTTTCCCACGTGACCTAATCCCCTGAGGCTATAATCCCATCAACTGGCCTTTCACTGTGGCTATGCCCAATCTCTGTTACCCATAACCTAGCCTGGCCCTCCATTGTCTTACCTCCCTGTGCCACCCCCCCCCCCATTTCCCACCCTTAATCCTATCTGGGTTCTATTCTTCCTTGACCACCCCTGGAATTCTATTACCTCAGACTACTTGGCCACTCCTAGATTCCTCCCATAGTCTTTCCATAATATAAGGTTCATCTCATCTCCATTAAGATGCTCCGATTCCTAAAATCTAGCCACTGCTCAGATTCTTAGAATCTAGCCAATACTTGCAGACTCCTAGATTCCTCCAGGGTCTGACAACATGGTGGATCTTTAATAAACCTTGTTTTTGGCAGAAGGAAGACTTGGGTTGAATTCTTTTGGGCAGGACCCGCATGTTGTGATCTCGGGATTCCAGCACCCCTAACCTCTAGACCTCATCAGAAGGAATGAGGTTCAGAGAAATTAATGATTTGGGGTCTTGAGGTAGTGAAAGGCTGGCAAGAAACCTCAGGAATCTCCAGTTATGTTCCATGGTTAAAAACTCTGGATGAAAACTCTCACTTGTATTGTCTGATTTCTTCAGTTTTCATTCTGTCTTGGAAGGAAGCACTGTATACTTTGAATGAACTCATGCTGACATACCCACCACCATTTTTTGTTGCAAGTATGTGACTGTTCTTTTATTTTTTTTAATTTTTTTTTACATGCCGTGAAAAACTAACTCTATTTCCCTTAATCCTATCCCAACCCCTCATTTATTCTATTCTTTCTTTTGACCCTGTCCCTCCTCAGAAGTATTTGCTTCTGATTACCCCCTTTCCCTCCTCTCTATCATCCCCCTACTCTCTTGTCCCCTTCCTCTCCTATTTTCCTGTAGGGTAAGACAGATTTCCATACCCAATTGAGTGTGTATGTTATTCCTTCCTTAAGTTAAATCCTGTGAGAATAAGATTCACTCATTCCCTCTCACCTTCCCCCGTTTCCCTCCACTGTAACAACCTTTTCTTTTCTGTTTTTTTTGTGAGATAATTTACCCCTTTCTACCTTTCCCTTTCTCCTTCTCCTAGTATAATCCTCTCTCACCCCCTTAATTTTATTCTCCAGATATGACCCTTTCATCTTCAACTCACCCTGTGCCCTCTATCTATCTATCTATCTATCTATCTATATATATATATATATATACATACATACATATAATTTTTTCCCTCCAACTACCCTAATACTGACAAAGGTCTCATGAGTTACAAATATCATCCTTCCATGCAGGAATGTAAACAGTTCAACCTTAAAAGTCTCTTATGATTTCTCTTTCCTGTTTACCTCTTCATGTTCCACTTGAGTCTTGTGTTGGAAAGTCAAATTTTCTATTCAGCTCTGGTCTTTTCATCAAGAATGCTTGAAAGGCCTCTATTTCACTGAATGACCATTTTTCCTCCTAAAGAGTTATACTCAGTTTTGCTGGGTAGGTGATTCTTGGTTGTAATCCTATCTCCTTTGCCCTCTGGAATATTATATTCCATGCCCTGTGGTCCCTTAATGTAGAAGCTGCTAAATCTTGTGTTATTCTGATTGTGTTTCCACAATACTTGAATTATTTCTTTCTGGCTGCTTGTAATATTTTCTCCTTGACCTGTGAGCTCTGGAATTTGGCTACAATATTCCTAGGAGTTTTCCTTTGGGGATCTCTTTCAGGAGGAGATCAGTGGATTCTTTTAATTTCTATTTTGCCCTCTGGTTCTAAAATATCAGGGCAGTTTTCCTTGATCATTTCTTGAAAGATGATGTCTAGGCTCTTTTTTTGATCACGGCTTTCAGATAGTTCAATAATTTTTAAGTTCTCTCTCCTGGATCTATTTTCCAGGTCAGTTGTTTTTCCAATGAGATATTTCACATTGTTTTCTAATTTTTCATTCTTTTGGATTTGTTTTACAGTGTCTTGATTTCTCATAAAGTCACTAGCTTCCAATTGTTCTATTCTAATTTTGAAGGAAGTATTTTCTTCAGTAAGCTTTTGGACCTCCTTTTCCATTTGTCCAGTTTTGCTCTTTAGGGCATTCTTCTCCTCATTTGCTTTTTGGACCTCTTTTGTCATTTGGGTTAGGCTATTTTTTAAGGTGTTATTTTCTTCAGTATTTTTTTTGGGTCTCCTTTAGCAATCTGTTGACTAGTTT